CACGCAGGTCCTTTCTCCTGGGACACTGACCATGCTGTTGAAGGGCCCCATCTACAGGAAGCCAGGGCCAGACAGCTGGTGCAGTGGTGCCTCACGAGCAGGTCATAGTGAACCCCAACCCCAACAATAGAGAGATACTTTCTCTGCAGAGGCCGAGCCGACCCATCACCACCAGGATGACTGGCGGCAAGCAGCGGAGGCTGCAACGCTCTCCACTGCCCCCTAGTGGCCGCAGCCTCGCTCCCGCCTGCCGTAAGGGCGCCCGCAGCAGCCGGCTCAGGCACAGTCCCAAAGCCTGTGTCAGAGACGGAGACAGCTCTGGTGCAGAATGCAGAATAGGACCTTAACACTAGCCCTGCCATCAGCCAAGAAAGCTTAGGGAGCCTGCGTTCATATATCCATTCATTCCCGCCTCCCTCCATCCACATCCCAGGCGCTGTGCCAGGTCCCGGTATATGGCAGTGAAGAAAACCAAGCTAGGAGTCTGGCACGGTGGCTCACACCTGTCATCCTAGCACTTTGGGAGGCTGAGGCGGGTGGATCATCAGGCCAGGAGTTTGAGACCAGCCTAACATGGAGAAACCCTGTCTGTACTATAAATACAAAATTAGCTGGGCGTGGTGGCGCATGCCTGTAATCCTAGTTACTGGGGAGGCTGAGGTGGGAGAATCGCTTGAACCTGGGAGGCGGAGGTAGCAGTGAGCCGAGATCATGCCATTGCACTCCAGCCTGGGCAACAAGAGACTCCCTCTCAAAAAAATAATAATAATAAAGCCAGGCTCTGGGCTTCATGGGACCTGAATTCTAGCCTGTGTGTGCAGGGGGAGCAGCAGGGTGGGGACAGACAGCCATGCCATGTTTTGTCACCAAGTGTCATGAACAAAACTAGAAGGTCAGGGGGATATCAGGAGTAGAGAAGATGGCCTTTTTTTTTTTTGAGACAGTCTCTCTCACTGTCGCCTAGGCTGAAGTGCAGTGGCAGTACCCTCCTCTGCTCAAGAACCCTCTATGGCTGCCACTTCACTCAGAGTAAAAGCTAATGTCCTCCCCTTGGCCCACAAAGACGTGACACTGTCCGCCACATCACCTTGCAGCCCTCCCACCCTCTCCCTGACTCGCTCCGCTCGGGCCACACAAGCCTTCTGGCTGCTCAGACACGGTGGACGTGGTCCAGCCCCAGGACCTTGGCACTTACCATTCTCTGCCTAAACTGCACTGGTTCCCCCACTGTCGACTGGCCTTTGTTCTGGCTGGGATTACACACCTGTAATCCCAGCTGCTTGGGAGACTGAGGCACAAGAATCACTCAAACCCAGGGGACAGAGGTTGCAGTGAGCCGAGATTGCACCACTGAACTCCAGCCTGGGTGACAGAGTGAGACTCTGTCTTAAAAAAAAAAAAAACACACACACACACACACACACAAATTTTTTTTAATTAGCTGGGCATGG